GTCAGCTAACGGTTGTGTCACAGCTTTAGCCCTTAGAGTGTTCTGTAGTCGGTAGATGTTAGCTTCTCCGTATTACACAACTTAACAGCGCTGTGCTGGCAGCAGGAACCAAACATGTACCAAATCCACCTGCAGAACCCTGCGTGTTACGTGTTCTGCAGCCAGAAAAGCATTGGTTCCACAGCACATGTGAGCGTTACGCAGTCAGCGTAGCTACGACGTGAGGCTAGTCAGACTGCAAACATGAACGCACTTGAAGAGCTCCTTTAGTCTGCGAGCGTTTCCAGCCTCGAGTAATTCAAATCGACAGGAGAAGGAATCCTGGCCACAGTCAGGTTGGCACGTCACTCAAGTACCTCTTAACTGGTGACTACTGTTCAGACAAACAGCCAGCCAGCCAAAGGGCATCCACACTTAGATATTTGTCCTGGACGCTCGGCTGAAAGATGCTGAATCTAGTATGAAAGCAGTGATTAGTCATTATTTGAACTTGGTCGGCTGAGTTTCTGTGGCTGTTTTCTCAACTCCTCCTGCATGTTTGTGTGCCCCTCTGATGGTTGTAGGGTTCGCCAGTGTTTGTCCATGCTGGGCCCTTCGCCAACATCGCCCATGGCAACTCCTCGGTGCTGGCAGACAAGCTGGCTTTGAAGTTGGTGGGACGGGACGGCTTTGTGGGTAAGAGCACACAGTCATGCATACAGATGGCACACACACAAGCATGAAACCTTTGAGGATGACAGACAAGAAGATCCTGACTGTAGAGTCTCAGACGTGCAGGCCTTTAGAGCCTAATCTTTATCAGCAGGACAGATTAAACCGTAACATTCAGTTTGATGAACTTTAGCTTGCTCCCCTGCTGCCCTTCATTCATTTCATTTCTAGCTCTGGTTTACCTGGATCTGCTGCACTAGTGTTGTGTTGGAGTCCTGCTCCTGCGTAACTTTCTAAGAAACTCGAAAGATTGTGTAAAAAAAACATGGGAGAGAGGAAGGAAGCTGGTGGATAATCTTAAGAGCCCCTGGAATGCTTCAGAGTAAACCACACTGATCCCTTCAGCGTCAAAGCAGACTAAGTATTTCCATTTTTATCTGTCTATCTATCCTGCTGCTCTCCTTCTCTCTTCATCTGCTTTGGCTACAGAAGTATGTTTGGAATGTATGTGTGTGTGTGTGGAGTGTTCCAGGTTATGTCCATGCACATCTCCTGCTGGCTGATGTTTATGTGATGCGACACATGTTTTCTGTGTAAAAGCGTTCAGGGTGGATGCACAGCGCTGAGCTAAACTCTAATCTGTAACTTGGGCACGTGTGGGCAAAGAGTTGGACACCACAACACCAAGCCCAGAAGCTGCTTTATTTCTCCACCCCACTCGTTTCCATCTGTCTGTCTTGTTCCCTCCTCCTGGTCTGTGTTTGTTACCTGACTCTCAGGTATGCCAGGAACGCGCCCTCCTCCTCCTCCTCCTCCTCCCCTGGCAGCTGGGATGCATGTAGCCCCTCTCGCTCCCTCTTTTACTCCCTCTTCTTGGAGGATACAAACATCCGGTGCTATTTGTTGGCTCAAATGAGTAAAAACACGTAGCAGAGAAGTTCAAGAAAACAAACATTCCTGCACATCCATGTCCAGCAGCAGTGGGTACCGCCTCCGTGTGCTGCATCACTTCAGTGTCAGACATTTCATAACTGTGTCATGCTGCAGAGCTGCCGAGCTGGAAGGTATGTGCTCTGGTGTGAAATTAAAAACTAAGTTCAGATTAAAAATACGGGCCCACAGGGGCAACTAAATCCAACAACAGTCAGGACACCATGCACGACTGACACCTGAAGGTTTGATGTTTACTTCTGAGGACTTGAGCGTCCTGCATGGAGGACACCAGGGTTGCACAGATTTCTGCAGAGATGTTCTACAGCTTTTTGTTCCTTTGCTCTGCCTTCCTCTTTAAAATGTCCAGGAGGTGTTCTGTTGGTTTTAGGTCAGGCAGCGTATCTGATGAGGTTAAAGTTTGGTTTTTTTCTCACTCTTGTCTTCTTTAGAAGCTCATTTTGTGTTTTGTATTGTAATATGAATCTTCTGTCCAGCCTGATTCATCTTGATCTCACCTGACCACAGAATGTGCTCCCAGCAGCCATCACGCTTCTTTTCAGGTTCTTTAACAAAGTTTAGTTTGATGAAAGGCTGATTCCTGCAGACGGTGTTTCCACTCTCCTCGTTGGTCTCCAGACTTTCATCTTTTTCAAGTCTTACAGTCAATGTGGAGCCGTAGTACAGACATGCAGATAGACGCAGCCCATAGGTCCAGAACTGAAGAGGTTCTGGTGTCAGGTCATTTCATAACCCTGCTCATGTGAGGAAGAGCACCTGTACTTTAAATGTAGTTTTAAATGTGTTCATATTTGTTTGTGATGATAACAAGACTAAATATTCAACCTGTCAGCTTTTGAGAGGTGATACGAGTTTGAATCATTTAACCCTTCAGGTGAAACTCAGAGGAGTGAAGAGAAGAACCGACCTGTCCAATGATCACATAGGTGCTTAAACTACACCTAAACAATGTCTGACCCTGATGTACAGTAAACACACTTAAGGACCATAAAACATTATTACCCGTTAGTTCATCCTGTGCATAACATGCATTTACATCCAGTTGGATCCTCCCTGAACTCTTTTCTCATGAGACAAAGGAAGTACGTGAACTTGTTGTGAACCCGCAGGGCTCTGGGGATAATAATGAATTTACTTACAGCCATGCTTCATCATGTGTCGTATTATTGCAGCGTTCCTCAAGTCACTGGGATCTGGACTTGGAAAGCTGCTGCTGGGTGGAGGAGGGGCGGCTGCAGGCGGGTCAATCCCACCAGCCACATGTGTGTGATTCCTGTCATTAGCTGTGTGGAGGGCTGGAGGGCGATAACCCCCGATACCGACTTACCGTCAGAGTTCCCACGTCGGAAAGTCTCCGTTTTGGACTCACTCAGTCGTGTTATGTCATTTTAGTGTAACTGCTTCTTTCATAGATTTCTTCATCCTGTATTGGTTCTTAAATCAGGATCAGCACTTGAAATGCATTGTAATAGCCTTCAGGGAGTGGTGAGGATGGATGGACTTCAGAAGTAAATGGATCAGTAAGTGAATCAGCTTTATGATGAGAGATAATGAAGGCCCTTTCAGTCACAGCAGTGGCTGCCTCTCTCTTTGTTTTCTGTTCTACAGTTGGACACTTCAGACACAGTGAAATGATGAAGGAGGTGTTTTCTGACATATTAAGACCACTGATTAATTAATAAAATAATAAACACTGTAGTTAGTAACAGCCAGAGCTGTGCCTACAGCGGGGCTTCTTGTGCAGACCTCTGACAGGACGGAGACGGTGTTGTGGGCGTAGCCGACTTTGCAGCATTTGTGTGTGTTTTTATTGGCTCTGATGCCAGAGCTTTGACTTGTCGTCCACCTTCCAGCTCTCTGTCTGTTCATAGCAGCGTGGACCTCCTCCTCCCCTCTGCTCTGCCCGGTTCAGGCTTGTTGCACAGAGCCAGAAGCTTGTGAGCGTTTCCTTCCAGCCTGCTGTGTGATGCTGTAGTGGGAAACTTGCCACTCTTCTTCTCTCCCTGTAAATATGCCTCGCCGTGCTCTGCTGAGCATTCCTAGTCTGAATGTTTCACTCTGTGGGAGATCACAGAAGGTTTTGGAAATGTCCACAAACACTGCACATGAGAATGTGATGTTCACTGGCAGGGATTCAGCATCCAGAGCTTTGCTAATGAGAAACACTAGACTCTGTCAGCGGCTCGTAGCCAGAAGGTCTCGCTGCATTCTTGTGCTCATCGCTTTATTTGTTCTCCTTTATCCAGAGATGCTTTTTATGATGCAAATGACGCAGCCCCCAAACCACAACTTGTGCTTCACCACATTACTGTCGTTTATCTTCCCAGAACCTGTAAAGTCCTGTTACTGAACCCGTTTGGTTTCCTTTTCAGCGTGATTTACTTTTCTTCTCTGTTTTAAATTTAATGGAGCTCCTTGTGTCTTGCTATCCCTCCTCTCTCTCTCTTCCTTGAGGTGAGTTGTGCTTTCACAGCCAGACGAAGCAGTTTCATGTATTTATTCATCATAAACCCTCAGAGATGTTCTTTTTCTAGTGTCAGACACTGTAAGCTGCAGTGAATCACTCTTTTCTTCTCCAAGGCGTCAAGGCGTGTTTTTTGTCTTTTTTTTTTGTAGTATTATTTTATCTTTGAACAATTATTATCTTATCCTTTCTTTGTGTAGAGTCAGTAACCTTCTGGTCTTTGTATCTGAGGAGGATGTGTGCTGCTCCTGGAGATAGACGCTGTGCAAACACTCTCACGTCTGTACGAGCCTGTAAGACGTGAAACTGATCACATTAATTTATCATCCTCTTAATCAAATTAAATGTTAAAGGCTAAGTGTTTGGTCGTTGTGCTCTGCTGCCCACACACCAGAACACATGTGGCCGGGACACAGATGTGCAGGACGACCCGGTACAGATGGGAGGTGTGGAGCAGGAGGCTGATCTCAGTGGGTCTGGTCTGACTCTCTGGTTGGAGGGATCACCTTTAAAGCTAATAGAGCTTTATTAGAATAATACCATGGTAATAAGGATGATTAAGGCTGGCTGTCAGAACAGTCCAGCCCCTCAGTCTTTCCTCCTCAGTACTGTCTCGTATGTCTCTCATTCAGTGGACGTCCTTCTGGGTCTCATTTAATGACTAGATTTGCTTTAAGACTGTTTTCTGACTGAACATCATGTGTTTCTGGACAGGCTTCTTGGTCTAAAGGTAAATGGGTAAATAATACTTAAACCAGATTACTTTTACACATAGTAATGTATTACCATCTCATTCAGCGGGACTGTTGCAGAACAAGGCCCGTTTTTATGGTTCAGCTGTTCCTAATGTACCACGGACTGTTAGCATGAAGTCACTTTGGCGGGCTGCTCGACATGATGTGGACCTGTGGGAGGAATTCAAAACAAGCATCACTCCTCTGAATGACACCACGTCATGGTCAACGTGAAGGCTTGAGTGGTCTCCTTTGGTGGTCACAAAGAGTTCATGGAGCTTTTTAGCTAAAGTGGACTTCATCTGTCATAAATACTGAGTGGCAGGAAGAAGCTTGGGGTGACTTATCTGTTAACCTCTGTTCTGTGATGACATGTGGAGGTTTGTCACTGTGAGGAATGCTGCCTCATGGTGGATCCTCACAAGCCTCTTCAGCATCACTGCAGTCCGTCCTAACAACACCAGGAGAGCAGGAGAACGGTGCAGGTTCCCTCAGCATCACCTAACCTGGAGCTGGTACTTTTCTTTTCCCAATAACAGCCCTGAAAGTTCTCAGCAAAGCTAACAAAGCATAAGACCTCCTTAAAACAGCCGGCAAGTTTCTACAATAGGAAGCAGCCTTAAACGGGGCCTCGCAGGCTGCCGTACTCTGATAGGACAGAGGTCCAGCGCTGTGACCAGCAGCAAGCACTGGCTGGAGAAATGAGACAAAGGCTTCTGAGCTTTCCACTGTAAGACATTAAAACACATACTTTGGTGAAATGCAGCGATGCCAGACCTCCAGGTTCTGCTGCGTTTACTGAGTTTAGCTTTGAACTGATGGACTTCTTTCACTGGGACCAAAGGTGTGAGTGGGTTCATTTCCACAGCAGAACTCAACATCTAAACAAACAACTAAGCACATTTAAAAAACACTCACATGGCTTCAGACATTACAGTTCAGTCACCTGTTTCCAGATCCAGTCCTGTGCTCAGTCCGGCCTGTGTGTGACTTGTGTGTAAATCATACAACATGTCATTAACGTAGAAACAGACTTGGAAGCTGTCCTTTCTGCTGGTGGACAAACATTTATCTCTTCTTCCTTCCAGCTAAGCCGACTGCACAGTAGAAATACAGGAGAGGAGAAGCTCCCTGAGATCAGCCTCCTTCGTCTTTGTTTGAGGCTCTGGTTTTGGCCCAGCAGTGTGTTTTTAGTACAGCGGTGCCACACACACGAGTAAGAGGAAACTTTATCTGAACAAGGCCGTCATTCCAGGTGGACTCTTTGCTTTGTTTGGAGCCTGTTCAAGAGGCCTGGTGGAGGGCCGCTCATATCAGAGGCCCTCTGTCTCTGTGAGAGCCCTTTCACTGAACCCATTATTCAAACAGCGCTCTCACAGAAAGCCGTCTGATTCACCTCCTATTCCCATGACTCTCTAAGACCGACGATCAAGCTCACGTTCATGTACCAGAACCCGGTCCATGACAGGATCGGCCACTTTCTTCTTCTCCAGTTTCTATCGTTGTTGGCATTGTTTTGTTGAACAGAACATTAAACATGGTGTATTCATCACATGGTTTGTCCAGAAGAGTAGTTCCTCTGTTCACAGCTCTGTCTGCAGCACATGTAGTCGAGCAGCCATCACAGCTGAGCAGACAGCGGCACCAGCTCAGTCGCTTTCTTCACGATTTGCTGACTAGTTTGTGAAATACTTTGCTGGAAACCAGTGACCCCAGCATCAGCATTTTGCCTCTTCAGTATAACTCTAACACACTTTGTGTACATGTGTATAGTAAACAATAAAGTAAATGTTTGACTCTGTATGAAGCAGCATCAGCACCGGGTCCAAACTCTGGTGCTGTTTGCTTCTAGTGTGTACGGTTATAACAGTTATTTAATAAACATTAAAGTCACGAGAAGAGGTGATTCAGGTGATGAATATAGTAGATATAAAGCCCACCATCAGGTCAGCATGTCTACTTCCTCCACCCACAGAACTTTCTCTGACCACCATCTGCCTACATCTGAACATGAGCCCAGTAACTTCCTGGGAGGCAGGTTAATAAGCTTTATGCTCATGTTCAGGCCTCGTCTGAACACCTCATGTCTGTTTCCTCACAGTGACTGAAGCAGGCTTTGGAGCAGACATCGGGATGGAGAAGTTCTTCAACATCAAATGTCGAGCTTCAGGTTTGAGGCCCGATGCAGTGGTGCTGGTTGCAACAGTTCGAGCGCTGAAGATGCATGGTGGCGGCCCAAATGTAAGTAAACGGAGCTCTGGTACCAGACCACGGTACATGAGACGTGTCAGATGAGTACATGTGGACTCCTCACATGGTCCTGCTTGTATTTCTTCCTGAATTCAGTGATATATGATTAAATGTCTCCTCACCCTGAGCTAGCATCCGGGGTGTACACGGTTGATATCACACAACAGTAACATGCTTTTTTGGATCATACATTTTGAATCATGGCAAGAAAACAGCAGTTTCATCTTCCAAACAAATGTCAGCAAAAAGTTAAATGTGCTAAATGAGGTGGTGCATGACGCTGCAGCATGTTACAGAGCGTGCAGTCATTCGCTGTGTTTGTGTGTTTTCAGGTGTCAGCAGGCGCACCTCTTCCCAGAGAGTACATCGATGAGGTACGAGCCGTACAACACACACACACACACACACACACACACACACACACCTACACACACACACACACAGCAGTAAGTCCAGTCAGTGTGGTGTACACACACGCTGGAGAGCTACAGAGTCGATGGGTTCTGGCTTCATTTCCAATCCAGTTAAAATCATCGGCTGGCCTGTTTTTATTACATTTACTCATAAAGGTCAGGATGTTTTCAGGAAAATTAAAGCTATTTAAGCTCATTGGCCAATGTGAGACTCCAATTATAAAACTATCATGTGCTCATTAACATAACTCTATTTGGTAGCTTTGTTTTTGAGCCATGGCAGCCTTACGGGACCATCAGTGGTGACACAACATCCTCTTAGTGGAGCTCTGTGGTCCTCTACATTCACAACATCCCCTAACGTTGATTCACCATCTGCCAGGTGAAGGCACACCCACAGACTCTATGGCGTAACCGAGCACGGACCTCCCAGGAACTGTGCCAGAACACAACAGCTGGGATTGTTTGTTTGCTGTAGTACGTTGTGTTTGCATGGCATGCACATAGACGACGCTTCTGTGAAAGAAAACGTATATTAACCAGGCTGTGACTGTGTCAGGCTCGCTTCTATGCCAACATCAGCAGTCGGTGTTCTGCCAGTGCGGCTTTATGCTGGTTTCTCATTTACGTAGCTGCACCGGTCCATGTACAGACTACATCTGTCCTCTCTGTGGTGCATTGCTGTAGTTGTGGTCCTTCAACATTTCTTATCTCCAACACAGTCGCCAGTGTTTGTGCACAAAGTCCAGTAGAAGCTCAGCCCCGTGGCCCACAGAGCCCACGGCAGACCGGGCTTAGGGTTAGGTTGGTGGTGTTAAGTCAAAGCAGCACGGACACGACGGTGCACAAGTATAAATGCTCACAGCAGCGTTGTAGGTTGGAGTGTAGATTCAGCGCCGGAGGTTAAACTCACAGCGTGACACTGTTACATGTGACTTTAAAAATCTTTATACTGGGTTTGTCCTTTCAGTCAGATTGGTGTAATATGGGCCAAGAAGATCCTGGAATGTGAGACATCCTGTGACGCCCTTCATAGAGATCTGTGATGCAATAAAGACAGCTTCAGATGGTACCAAACCAAACCAGTCTGCCTCAGGCCTCCAGCTGTGCTGTCATTCTCCTCCTATAGGCATAAATACTGGGCCTGGAGCATGGTTAGGATCACTTATTTAATTAACAGCACACGTTTGGTTTCTGGGTATGTGGACCTGAACAGAGCGGAGGAGGAATTCCTTCTGGTGTGTGTCTGGGTGTGCACATCCCATATCTGGCTGCAGTCACTGGCCTCTCAGGCAGCTTCAGCTGAGTAAATAATGAAGCAGTATAAGTTAATTGTGAAGCCTGTAATTGGAACCAGCAGTACAGCAAGAACCAGAGCCAGGGAAATGGATTTATGGGACCTGTATGGTCTTACTTCACTGAGCCTGCGGCGGCATGCACACACACACACACACACACACACACACAGACACACACACACACACACACACACACACAGAGACACACACACATAGACATAGACACACACACACAGAGAAACAAACACACACATATAGACACACACACACAGACACACACACACATATAGACACACACACACACAGACACACACACATAGACACACACACACACACACACACACACACACAGTGTCAGATTAGTGTACTGTGGTCAAACTGGAGTAGCTTCACAATATGTTGTTAATGTCAGGAGCAGCGTCCTGCTTGTGTAGTGTTCAGTAGGATGTTGGTGAATAAGCACACACAGCAGGACACGACCACAGACTGATAACACCTGGTCCATCACCAATCCAGGTATAATAACATAAACATGTTAGCAGCATATCCACATCAATACAAACTCACTGTTGAGTCATACATTCTGTCGTGCTCTCTGTTAGTTGGACATCCCCAGATGCTAAATGGGTAAATAGGAAATGAAGGTATTTAAACTGAGCTTCCAGTGGAATTGAGGATTTCCGGTCATACCCTGTAAATGATGCCTCTGCAGACGACCGGCCCACACCTCATCCTTCTGTTGCCCTGACAATGTAATAAAAGCTTTTCTCACTATAAGCTGAGCTTCAAGTGTCCTGATTCTGATGTACACGTGTTTCTGTCCAGTTTCACTGTGACGTTCAAGGATGTTGGAGGTGTTGTGCATCACAGGAGCTTCCATAGATCTCAGTGTAGCTGAGTTTCCTTCATGTTGAGCTGAACTACAGTGACATGTTCCTGACCTCGACTGTCTCCGCTCTGTGTCTCCTCTAGAACCTCAGCCTGGTTGCAGGAGGCTGCCGTAGTAATCTCAGGAAGCAGATCCAGATTGCACACCTGTTCGGGGTTCCAGTCGTGGTCGCAGTCAACGTCTTCAAGTAAGACACACATCCATGAACATCCAGCTTTTCTGCACAGCGTGTTAGCTCTGTAAACCCGAACCTTTTCTGAGCAGTCACGGTTTTACTGACTGTGGGCTCGTAAAGTTCTGCACCTCTGTGGAAACATGTTGGACGTAGAAAGAACCCAAAATGTCTTCTGTTCAGTAAAACAAAGAAAAAACTGAAGTTTGAACAAACCTGGAGTCGACATGTGGCCCAAAGTTCTGGGCCCAAAGCTGATCCTCTTCCTGTCAGCCTGTTGGACACATCCTGCAGCTCAGCCGAGTGAAGCCGACTCGTTCCTGAGTCCTTGTTCTGTGCTGACTGGTGGAGTTCAATAGAACCTATCAGCTGTGCCCACAAACATTTCTGGGTTTGGCAGAATCTTTTATTGTCACTGTTTAGTTTTGGTGAATTGAACTGAGACGTTTTGAATGAATGCAATGTGATGAACTGTCTGGTACCGTTTTCAGCACCAGACGGAGCTGCACCTCACGTATGATGAGTTCAAGCAGAATATTGAACCCGTTTCTGGGTCTGATAAGAAGTGCAGTTCTGCCACTTTTCTGTTTGTTAGTTTGTTGTTGTTTTTAAGATTGATGCCTTTAAAGCTGCAGCAGGTTTTGGAGTTCAGGAGGTTAACTAGACGGACAGTCTGACTAAACCACTGTTTAAGTTCATTTTGCACTGCTAACGATGTTTCCCTGGTTCTGTAGGACAGACACCCAGGCAGAGGTTGACCTTGTGTGTGAAATAGCGAAGGAGTGTGGAGCGTCTGACGCTGTGCCCTGTCACCACTGGGCTCAGGGTGGCCGAGGTTCTGTAGAGCTGGCCAAGGCTGTGACCGAGGCCACAAGCAGACCCAACAACTTCCAGTTTCTGTACAGCGCAGAGGTGAGTGCAGATAACCAGAATTCTTCTGTGTTGTAACGGATACAGCCGAGTGTTAAAGACGTGTCAGACCGATGCCTTCATGTCGTTGCTGTAACCGGCCGTAGCCCGGCCCGACCGTCACTGATGTCCTCTGTGGGAGTCCAAGTCAAAAACATCAGCTG